AAAAATAGATGTAAAGTGTGAGATTCGAATCTGGACCAAATATATACAATATAAGGGATTAACCACATTACCACATGTGATGTTATAATTTAGATATAAATATATATAATATATTATTATATAAATAATATATGTAATATATTATTATATAAATAATTATATAAATTTTTTTTTTATTTCAAGCTAAAACGAGCTGAACACGAGCGAACAAAGAACTGTTCGTGTTCAGCTCGTTTATAATTCGAGCTTTAAAAACTTGTTCGTGTTCGGCTTGTTTACTTAACGAACGAGCCGAACACGAGCTACTTAAAGAGTCGAACACGAGTTGTTTGCGAACAACGAGCTTTTTTTACAACCATAACTATGATATAAGATCTCCACCTTCGACTCAGCAGATATCCTAGTAGACCCCATTGAGAGTCCAAATAGCTGAAGTCATAGAGGCTATCTAGAACAAGAAGTATTTATGAAAACCTGCACCCATGAAGGCAAGAGGATACATCCACAAATTGAAAAGGTTTTGACCATAGGCATGAAGCCTCCACAGCTTGATCGAGGAGCTAATTAAGCCATAAAAATTGAAGGCATTTATGGGACCTGGAGTAGTAACTTAAGGAATAATTGGTTGAGTGAATTAGCGGTGTACTGTAATTCATTTGCAAAGATTTAAAAAAATTAAGTGTTTGGTATCAAAATTTATAAATGCAATGTAAAGTTATAATGAGTTTGAATTTTACACTGTAATTCATTTTGACTTAATTTAGAATCGATCGATTTGGTCGAATTTGAATTACATCATTCATGTAATATATTATAGACAAGTCGATGCTGCCCGTCGTCTGCCTGCTGCCGCCTGTAGCCCATTGTCGCAGCCAATCGCCGCCACTCGCAGCCATCGCACTCCTCCGCTCGCCGCTACCACAACTCGTAGCCGCCACAGCCCTCTGCCTGACGCTGCCACTACCAGCCACTCATCGTCGCAGTCTGAGCGCCGCCTCCACCACTAGCCGCCACTGTCTGCAAGCCGCAAGCAGTCAGCCGCCACCTGTCAACGCCTACATTTCCCATCGTTGCCTTTCGCCGCATGTCGCCATCGTTTGCAGCCAGTCATTCATCTTCGCATGTAGCCGTCGTTTGCAGCCCGCAGTCCGCTGCTTCTCGCCGCTTGATGCCCACTACCCCCACCCACCGTCGCTGCTCTCCACCCGCAGCTGACACCCACTGCCTTTTGCTCAAGTAAATATATTGTTTCCAGTCAATGTCAAATCAAATAAAAAAATATAAAGTCCTACATTTATTTTAAAGTGAATCAAACAACTTGAAAGTATTTCAAATACATTGTAATCATGGTACTCTACAAACCTTTTACATTGCATTTCAATTTCAGCAAACCAAACAGTCCCTTAGCGAAAGAGAAAAACACCAGCACAGGAGCATCACAACAAAACCACTTATTCTCAAGCTATTTGTATCGCAAGCATCATTTCGACAATTCTTAGTGGTGGTGGAGTTGAGTCATTTCAGCAGACCAAGTTGAAGTGGCTTTTTTTGGGATAATTTTATATGATAGCATCGTCTCAGTGGAGAATCACACATCATCCTATAATTTTCTTTATAGAAAAAGACCAACCTACCAAAAATAACCCCTACAATGATGCTATCGTAGTTATGACCCTAATTGTCAATTTTCAAACTAGCAATATCTTCATTAATATAGGGTGATCTGTTAATTTCTTGTTTAAATATGTTAAATGAATCTAGAAACTTCAAAGCTATTTGTTATATTCAGACCGCTTAATGGCTTCTCAAGCAAGAAAAACAAGATATTAGGAGTTCTCCCTACCCGTCACTTGGGGCGAATGTGACAAGTAGTTCTCGCCCTACCCATCACTTGAGGTGAAGGCAACATGTAGTTCAATATAGTCGATTCACCAACAAATTATAATTTAATTTTCGGCCTTCCCCTCAACATTTTAAAGTTGTTGTCTCTACCTACTATGCAAAAGAAAATTTCCTTGGGGAGGAAGAAGTGATCATTGTTCGAGGCAATTTAGAGCAATCACACACCTTTTATCTGCAAGCCATTAACAGTGTGCATCGAGAAGCCTTGGAGGTAGACCTTGAACGAAGATACGGTCTAGAGGCTATTAAACGATTGAATAAAGTCTTGCCTCATAAGAGGATACTATTAAAGTTTTCCGACTAAGTGCTAAGTTTGATGAAGGATATAAGGATGAACTAATCATCATGTTGCGCGAGTATCGATATGTATTTGCTTGGTCGGCTAAATATATGTTGGTAGTTTTGGCCAATATAGCCCATCACCGATTAAATGTCAACTAAAGAGCTCGATCTGTCAAACAAAATTTGTGATTGATTGAGCTCATGCTAGAGAGCTAATTAAGGAAGAAGTGTGCAAGCTATTAGATGTTGATATGTCAAGGAGGTACAATACCCAAACTAGGTAGCCAACATGATGATGGTCTCGAAGTTGAACGTTAAGTGGCGACTGCACGTCAACTTTATCAATCTCAATTCAACCTTCTCAAGGGATTTATATCCGTTGCCATGAATTGATACTTGTTAACTTGATGGTCTGTCACTGGGCTATGAGCTTCCTAGACATCTTCTCAGGTACCATCAGATCAAGATGTACCATGTTGATGCTAAGAAAATATCCTTACTCAAT